GCTGTCGTGTGTTGCCCAAATTTAAGCCACACAATGATGAATTCTTACTCACGCCTCTCCGCCTCCAATCATGATTCATTAACTGACTTCTAAGGTAATTAGTCTCGTAAGCGTAGTGGCATGTTTTTGCTCGGGAGGTAGTGGTGATCTTCCCTCGCTGGATGGCAAGATTCGGTCCTAACGTCAGCTAGCGGCCCCACCAGCGGGGCATCGCCCAGGGCGGGACAAGCTTTAACTTCCCGACTGGGCTCCCGGCAAGTGTCAGAGTGTAGTGCAGATGTAAGTACGGGGTGAGGATATGTCAAAGAAGAGGAAGGAAAGATCGCGTGCGCTCCGTGGCCCGTTTGTTACGGTACTGCATTGGCATTCGCCTGGTGTTGATCGGAGAAACCAGAGAAAAGTACGGATCAGAGCAGCTGTCCGATAGAATTCACCTCCAGAAGCGACTAAATTCGACCCAGCTTATAAGGTAGTGACGAAAATGCTGCCACCGTCTGGACGTGAACCTAGGACCTCCCGGTCAGAGGCATTGCAGGGACAACAGATGATGCCCTGAGCCATCTCTCCCGATCCTCTCGAATCACGCTTCGGCCAGAGGCTTACGTAAGATCTGTTCCTTACAGCGGCGCGTGGCGTTGCCGCAACTCGTAACCGACGTGAGAACCAAGCACTTCCCACACCAACAATACGGAATTGGGATTAGCGGTTGGTTTCACTTCTTTTAGCGAAGCTCCACTCACGTACCCCATTGCGAGCACAAAGGCCGTGCTCTGAAAGTTACCCCGGGCGATCTCGACTCTGCGCCGAGGTCGAATGCCGCAGGTGAGAGGGAACATATTGTTCCCACCTGCGGCCGACGCGAGCGCACAGGCGCATTCCTGGCTGGGAACTTTCACTGGCTGCTGGGAACGGAGGGACAGACAGGAAACGCAATTACTCGGGTCACGTGACCGCCGCTGCCGCCGCACAGTGGGCGGCAAGGGGCTGACACTACAGAACACCGCAAGGATAGACCTGCGCCCTCAATGTTCGACGACGGTCACTGCAATGCCCTGACAGTGAGGGGCAGCGCTCTAGGTTAGAGTCCCAACGGCGGCAGGATTTTCAACACTAGCTTCATAGCTGGGTCGAGTTCAGCTTCTGACCGCAGGAAAATTCTTGCGGCCGGCTGCTTTGATCGGTTGTTTCCGCGGTTTCTCTGGTCAGAACCAGGCGAATGCCAGAGCGGTACCCTAACAAGTAGACCACCAACCGCGCGCGATCTCTCCTTCCTCTTCCTTGTCCTATATTCACCCCTTACCCACACCTACACTAACATGCACTAGCTTGTTCGCCCTAAGGCAATGCCCCGCTGGTGGGAGATATCTGGTTGGGGAATACCCCTCTAGCTGACGAGCAGTTTGGCACTGGATCTCACCATCAGAAGGGGAAGATCATCGCCTCCCCCCGAGGAAAAAAATACACTTAACGTACGAGACCAATGATCTGTTGAAGTGAAGTGAAATGAAGTGAAGTGGAGTGCAGTATATTTAAAACGTGTATTTGTTAGTTAAAATATCTGTGAAGGACAGTCATAAAATGTAGAATTAATGCTGTTATTGTTATTGTCTTTATTGTTATCTTATTATTATTACTATTATTGTCTTAAAATGATTTAAAATTACACTGTATCAATAATCCTAATTGTAATATGTTAATTGTAGTGTCCTGTCGCCACGTTGTATAAACCTACATGCAGAAATAATAAATCTATCTAATCTATCTTAGTAGTCGATGCGCCCGTTATCACTAACCAATAGGCTCTATTCTACTGCGATTTTACTAAAATACAAATCACATTATCTATTTGCTAAATGGACTTCAAGAAGGTCGTAACTGAGGGAAGTCATTAACCATATGGTGTTGCAGAATTTGATTTCTGGCGGAACGCGACGGAACGGCGTTCCGGTACCTCGGGAATAAAAAGAGCCGAGGAGAAACACTTGGCAACTACGATTTGACTCAAATTAACTAATTTTACACTTATCCGTATCAGTTCTACGAAAGTAATAAAATTATTAGTTAAAATCGATGGCTGCTAGCGGGGTTTTCCCCCATCCAGGCTTCTCCCAGCAGCGCCCAAGCCGGGACAATCTCTAATCTCCCGCCTGGTCTCCCGACATGTGCGATGGTGTGTGTATCTTATAGAAGAGGAGAGGACAAGGATGAGGAAGAAATGGAGTGTGTAAGTGTGAGTAAGTAACGGGTGAACATAGGATGAGGAAGAGAAAAGGAAGATGGCTCGTTTTTTAGGATCCTACACCGACGTTCGCCTGGTGTTGATCGGAGAAAGCTCGAAGCTCGGAAAACTACTAATCAGAGGAGCCGGCAACTAGAATTCTTCTCCAGACAGCGACAGAATTCGACTATGCAGCTAGTAAACATGCTGCCACCTTCGTGAGTGTATACCTAGGACCTCCTGGCCAGTGGCACTTCGGTGACATCAGTCAATGCCCTGAGCCACCTCACCCTGTGCGGTGGGTGGAGCTGCGGGGGCGTCGCCCTGCGTTTCCCGCGGAAGAGGCGCACGTGCACCCGCACGCGACGCCCTCCCCCTCCCCCTCCCCCTCCGGAAGGGGAAGTGGGGGGAGGAGATGTGGGGGAGAGGGTCGGCGTGCGGGGGCACCCGTGCCTCTTTTCGCGGAAACGCAGGGGGACGCCCCGCAGCTCCACAGTGAATACCGATCGACGTAGCGGTAGCGCAGAGAAGTAAGAGGGTGTGAAGGGCCAGTGTGGGACGTTGGCAGACCGCGGTCAGGGCATTGGCTGATGTTCACCGAAGTGGCCCTGGCCAGAGTCCTAGTATAGCACTCACGAAGGTGGAGCATGTTTACTAGCGCATAGTCGAATTCTGTCGCTGTCTGGAGAAGAAATTCTAGTTGCCGGCTCTCGGTGATTAGTAAGTTTTTCCCCGGAGCCGGGGAGATTCGAGCTTCTCTCCGATCGAACACGCAAGGCGAACGTCGGGCGACTAAAAAACGATCATCTTCTTTCTCTTCCTCGTCCTTATGCTCATGCCGTTACTTACTCACACTTACACAACTCCATTTCTTTCTCAGTCTCTTGTCCTCCGTCTCTTCTTTAAGATACACACCTTATATTCACTAACACATCGGCACACTGTCGGGAAGACCAGGGCGGAACTAGAGATTGTCCCGGCTTGGGCGCCTGCTGGGAAGAAGCCTGGATGGGGAAACCCGCTCGAAGCCTTCGATTTTAACTAATTTTATTACTTCGTTAAAAAATGAAATACAGATAAGTGAAAATAAAGTTAATTCTGAGCTAAAATCGTATTGCAAGATCTTTCTTGCTCTTTTTGTTCCCGAGGTCCGTCGCGCTTTCCCCAGAAATCACCAAGCTCTGCAACACATACTGGTTAGATGACTCCCCTGTTGTGGGGTTTAAGGCATGGCCTGATTCTCGTACAAAATTGCGGGGGGTAAAGCTGGTTGTGAATACGGGCGTAAAAATAACGATTTAAAGCTTATTTCCTGCCAGTGGTTCTGGGAGAACAACAACATGAATATGGATACCGTGAACTAAATTTTCATTTAAGGACAGAATAGTAAAAAGACTAAATAACACTATAAGGATACAATAACAGCATTAATTTACATTTTAAAGATGTCCTGAACAGATATTAACTAAAATACTTTAATACCTCGCACTTATCCATCCACTATCACTTCACACTGAGATCATTTGGTTTTTCGTAGTTAAGTGTATTTTTTTCCTCGGGGGAGGGCGATGATATTCCCTTCTGATGGGTGGTATCATGCGCCAACTGGGCTATGCGCAGCTAAGGGAGTTCCCAACCAGATATTCCCACCAGCGGCGCAATGCTGCTAGGGAAAGATAGCTGTGCGTATGTTACGGTAGTGTGTGAGTAAGGGAAGCATGATATGGACAAGGTAGGAAGGAGGATCGTGCGCAGAAGGGGGGTTGCGTGGTCCATGTGTAGGGACCGCTTCTGGGATTCGCGGCTGGTTCTGACGAGAGAAAACTGCGGAAAACAACGCCGATAAAGTCAGGCCGGCGCGCCGAAGAATTGTCCCTGCGGGGAGTGAAGCTGAACTGGAGCCGCGCAGTATGAGCTAGTCGTTTCACAAATCGGCCGGGCCGGTTGGCGATGGTCTAACTAGGGCGGCTGCCCCTCACTTCAAGGGGC